TTCTACCCCACATCCCTAACCAGTCTTGGATCAATCAAGCCTAGACTCCCCCCTCCCACCATTCCAGCCAATCTTGCACAAATCAGGCCTCGATACCTCCGCTCACCCACTCCACGCCTCTACCCCCTTGTTCCTGCCTCCACTCCCCAGGTCTTACACCAACAGGCCCAGACCCCTCTCCCCCCACCGTGCCAGCCTTACACCATGAGGTCTAGACTTCTCCGCCATTTCACCTCAGACCACCCCCCGTCAGTTTTGTACCTCAACTCTCTTCACTCATCCCCACATCTTCCCACCCCCACGCCCCAGGAAATCTTACACGAACAGACCTAGATCCCCCCTCCGCTCCCTCACTCCTCCATCTCACCTCTGGCCACCCCAAGCCAGTCTTGAACCAATGAGGTCCCAACTCCTCCACTCATCTTTCCCCTTCACGCTCGCCTCTCACCCCTTTATCAAGCATTGACCTCCCCCCACACACACTCCTAACTGGCCCTACACCTGCCCCTACTTCCACACCCTATTCCAACCTCAATCAGCCACCCAGCCTCCCACCACTCAGGCCTAGGCACCCCCCCTCAGCAACTGCACGCCACCTCCCAGGCCTCTACTCCCTCATGCTCCAACTGGTATCTCTGGCCCCCATTCCGCATCTTTGTTTTATTGGCGTTAGTATCACAAATACACACACACAAATTCCTTCTTCTAAAAGCTTTAAGTGGAAACAGGCAAAATATTTGGCCAAAATCTCAGTCTCGGGGTTCACGGACAATCAATGTCCAGGGCTTATAGCGGTCCTGACTTTAATTAAGTCGGCTCCACTAAGATGTGCTTCCAGCTTGTTCCCGCTTCAGTACCCTCCCGTCACCTACCTGCTTCTGCAGCCTCTGGCCTGGCCGATCTGCTGCTCGCCTCAGACTGGGAGTCTAAGGCGTGCGAGGTCCCGAGTGACTGTGGGAGACGCCCGGGCGCGCGTCCTTTTATAGAGCCCGGGCTCGGCGGGAGGTCGTAACTGACGTACTCCCGCTCTCCGGGGAACCCACCTATCACAGCATTGTCACCAGGCAAATTCAAACCTCGCGGCTATGAACTTGGCGCCCACTCACGGTGCTTCCGGAGTCAGGTCTATCACATCCACGAGGTGTCGCTTATGTGGCCCGAGAAACGCCATTTCACGGAGAGCACAAGGCCCCAAGCACATTTCTGTAGTTTGGCGATCCCTAAATTTACTTCTGGGGTGACAGGGAAAAACCAAGCTGAATCCTCCCAAATCAAGTTGCATCCTTGTGAGGACTTGGATAAGTGTGCCCCCGTTCTTTGCTTGAACTGCCCAAACCTCTCAATCCGTGTGCCTACCCTGCAAACTCCGCGGGGCAGGGGATGGGGGTGGGGCACACCCCTAGATAAGAGCAAGGCAGCAAGCCGAAAATGCCTGGCAACAAAGTACGACGTGTGCCTCCAGAATCCTCCTAACCCTGGTGATAAAGAGGAGTTAGTTACTTGATGCTTTTTGGCACTCGCTCCAGACACACCAAGAAAAACATAAACGGGGAAAGCAAACGCTTTCTAGATCGTGCCCGTTTCTCCAGCGAAAACCGATACATCTCGTAATTTAAGCATCTGGCCTACGGAATACAAACAAAATGCCCCTGCACTTAAAAATATTAACAATATTGAGTTTATTTTAGGCTAGGCACTGTTCCAAGTGTTTTATGTGGATTTAATCCTTATGACACTTAAAAACATTAGGCAATATTAAGCACTCTTGTTTTACAGAGATCACACGGCTAGAAAGTGGCAGAGAGCTGGAATTCAAATTCTGGCAGCACCAGTCTTAAGCACCAAACTGCCGAGTCGAAAGGGAATTATATAAAAAGGGCTTGTCATTATAACCTCATCTCTTACAACAAACTTGCAAGTTTACCTCTACAAGCCTCTTTCATAAAAATGGGTGTTACATAACTGTGTGCCTCAGAGGTTTGGACAAAGAATCTGAACATTAGCTGTAGTTAATATTAAGAGGCACGTGCTTCAAGTAAAGAGTGGGTTTAGGATTGGAATCAAATCATGTAAGTCACACAAGTTTATTCAAGGTTGTATGAGCAACTCCTTTACACTTTATATAAAGGCAGGAGCCAGAAGCAGACTGGAAAAAACTGATGCAGATTCCTAATAATTGGAAAGAAGGGGATGGGATAAGAACTGATTTATGACTAGTTTACTTCCAAGAAACAAACACCTTTCTCCCCTCATCTTTCAAGAAACAAACACTAACCTCCATTAGGGCTTTGAGGGCCACAATTCACAGAAACTTCAGAGGTAAATTACCTGAAATTTTACTGAAAAAAATTTTTCATTTATAGCTCTGAGAAAACAGACAGCTGAACAGCCTGTTCTGATCCCTAATGCACTGATGTCCTCCTCCCTCATACCTGTGGCTCTGTTCAATCACCATTCAGAGTAGGAAGGAACAGTCCACATAAAGAATGAGACTACAAGGGTAGATGAAGAAGCCAGAATGGTCATAAGCAAAACAGGAACAAGCACAAATGGGATATGCTGGGAATCTCAGGCTTTGTCAGGTCTTAACAGATCATAGACCAACCTGACCCGTGCACCCCTGCACTTGGCTGAGAAAACAAAAAATAATTCTTAATATGAGAGCTACCCTAGGGAAATCTGGTCCTTTAGTTGTCTGGAGCTGTTCCAATATAGGCTTCATCACTGGAGGGCCCTATTGCTCTGTCTAATGCTCAGTTTTAACAGAACACAAAATACGTCAGCCATATTAAGGGCAAATCATTTATTGTTTAAAGATCGCAAGACAACATCTGAATTTCTGTAGCACAATTTAAATGTTTTACTTTTTTGATAAAGCAGAGTATAATAGAAAAAAAAAACAATTAGTTTCCAGTAATATCTATATCTCTATTCAGAATTAAGTCTTCCACAGATATGTTACCTGGAAACAAAAGCCTGTTACAATAAGCAAAGCTTCAACCAGAGCGGCTACTTTTCGTGCCAGGAAAAAGTTCATCCCTGTAGGAGGAATGATGTGCTATGTAAAACGGCTGTAAGGTCACAGCCTTGAGGGCATTGGAAGTATATTATCCTATTCCACACTGAGTAGTTTGGTGAAAGTTCAAACATCGGTTTATCTGCAACCAAGCTGGCAACCTTTAACTGATATTTCAATAAAGTAAAAAATAAATTAAGAAATCCCTAAACTGATGCTTCTTGATTTACATTGTTAAAAGGTACACAGTTCATTAATATGTAATTCTGACTAAGAATTACATTTGAGACTCCTTGCTCAGATTTTGGTTAATAGTGAGAATCTTTCAGAAATTCAAGTTCTTATTAATCAATAATTTGTCAACTAGGATACATTCAGGCATCAGCTGCAACTACAGAATAGGTGCACTGCCTCAGCGCTTTGGAAAGACATTATAATCTAGAACACTACTAGCAGACAAAAAAAATTATCTGTTACTGGATAGCATATGTGCAGTACAGCAAGACAAAAACATATATTCATATGTTGGCTTGTTTAAGCCTCAAGCCCTCAATCCTTTGTTGAAATTCAATAATTTTATTCCTATGGTTTTTAATACCAAGAACTCAAGCTCCAGGAGGGCTAAAGTCTAATTTATACGCCAAACCAAGTAGCAGTGCAGTCTGCTACTGCTGAGGCTGAATCCATACAGACTTCAAGACCAAGTCCAGAAGACAATTATTATATATAATACCCTAGAAGGTCTGAAAAATAATTACTCATATACAGTGCTGATCCTTCAGAGCTTTTTCCCTATAACATGTTTTTTTGACGAAAGTTATTTTTAATGTATTGGAAATTACTGTGACTTACAGATCAAATATTTGAATACTTATACTTACCTGGGATTTCATTTCTGCTGAAAGAAATAGGAAGAACAGGACTCACTTAAAAAAAAAAAACTTCAGAAATGAAGGTAGAAATCTTATCACAAACTATCATTTTCGGAAGCAGCATAGAGGGGCAGTTGAAGGTAAAACACTGGTGAAATAGGTCAAAACTAGGCCAAAGAATCTATATTATTATCATCAATGACAGTACCACAACTGTGCCCTTCATAATTAATAATCACTCCTAAGAATTTTCATTTGGCACGAGATGATCTGTTTAAGAGAAACACTCTGGGAGGTTGTGAATCAGACTTGATTTTGTTAGCCAAGTTACAGGAGAAATTTTCAAGTGGGGAGAGGGGAAGAAGGAAATGGGAAATGGACCAGAAAAAAAAAATTTAAGTCATTATCTAAACCAACAAAGCACTGATAACTCCAAACATTATGTCAGACACTAAAATGACTGATATAGACTCAAGTGGTTTATAAAACCTATAAAAAGACTACACCAGCAAAGTCCCCATTAATCTGCAGAGTTCAGAAACTAAAATAAGGAACATTTTAGCTTAAAACCTTATCTCAAGAGAATCACATACACTTCACATGAATAAAAATACCTGAAACCAAATATCTTTAAAAGCTCCAATACCCAAAATATAAAGAAAAAAATTAATTCAGAAGACTCAATCAATCCATGGAATCACAAAACGGCTGGACAATCTCTATCTCCCCTCCACACTAACCATCCCATGGAAGACCAAGGGAGATCAGACCTTCCAGACCTATGCACCACCTGGTTGCTGCAAAATTCAATGGAGACGCCTTGTGGAACAGCAGTTTCCCATCTCTTGTGTCTCTCCCTATCATGCAGGAAGCAAGTCTGGCTGTGCTATTCTATTATCATTATTTGTCACCCATCTGCAACATGATACTGTACAGATAAGTAAAAAGTACATTATCTAGTTCCCTTTCCCCCAGAAGGTTGAGGCTCAGGTATACGGTAATTCTCCTGTGTACACAGTCTTTTATTTAGGCCGACTCAGTGACTTCAACAGGCTTAATCATGTGATCAGGCTTGTTGCCAGCTGCATAATGCTCCCACATCTGTAGATAGAGCCGCTCTAGTTCCATTGTGTACTGTTTGGTGTTGAACAGAGGGCTAGATATTCTCTGCTTCCAGACTTTGCCACGAATTTTCTTCAGGCTGGGTAATAAAAAGAGCCAAGTTTACAAGTCAGAGCAGAAACTCAGAACTGGCCCCCATAACTACCTAGACACCTTTGTGGTAAATTACATGACCAAACTTCACACTCTTTTCTCTTCTGATTGCCGCCCCCTAACCTCAGTGCTGAAAAGGAGAAGGGTCACAGCTAACACAATGTTAAACACTTTATTATAATAGAGTTCACCTATGTCCTCTGAAAAAACTTAGTTCTTTCCTAAATAAGAGTATCTAAGAGATACCATGCTTTCTCCATTTCATCTTATTTCTACCTTTAAAATATAAAACAAGACTTGGCAATGACACGTCTACTTCTACATACTATTGGTTAGAATATAAACTGTCCACCCTTTTGATAAGCAATTTAGCAATGTGTCTTTTAAGAACCATAAATGTTCATAACCCTATGACCTATCAATAACACAATAGCTAAAACACAAACATAAAATGAAGTATTCATTTTATGCATATTTTAATGAAATAGGAAAACACTCAAGGGGAAAAGAAATGCAATGTCTACTGCCGTAATTTTTCACTTATACATGAACTGAGTTGTTCGTTTATGTATAAAAAAATGTTTCCTAATATCACCAAGACGATGGTTCTGTTCAGAAACAGGGAAAAATGCAATCAACTCTTCTGGGAACAGAGAGGGAAAGATTTCTTTCTCTTCTCCCATTCTGAATATATCATTTGTCATGAGACTATTCTCATATGGAGAGAATTACTACTTTAGAACCAGAAGCTGGAATATTCTTGTGCATTTTTAAAAGCAATTAATAAAAAAAACTGTTTTAATGTTTGCTGTGCCAGAACTAGTAAAATGGCTATGAATATATGCCGGCTTCAACCCAACCATGATCATATTAATGTTATCTTCCAAATAAAAATACTTTCCTGTTCTTTTTTTTTTTTAAGTTCTGTATGTCAATAGGAGAATGGTTAAACTGTGGTCCATCCATGCAATGAAATACTACTCAGCAATAAAAAGGAATGAACTACTGATACAAGCCAACAACATGGATAAATCTCAAAATATTATTATCCTGAGTGAAAAAAGCCTTCAGAGTACATACTGTGTGATTCCATTTGCATAAGGTTACTAAAAGGCAAAACTAAATAAACTATGGCGGGGAAAAAAAATTCAGCAACAGTGGTTGTCCCTGAGGGTTGGTGAGGAGGACCGTCTAAGAAGGGGTGTGAAGGAACTTTATGGAGAGACAGTAATGTTCTATATCTTGTTGGAGATTGGGGTTATAAAGTTATCTCTCAAAATTCACTTTAGATTTAAATATTCCACCATATATAAATTCTGCCTCAAAAGAAAAAACAAGTACTAAAGTCAAGTTAATGATGTCCATTCTAGGTAACGATTTAGGGAGAAGAGTACCAATGTCTGCAATTTACTTCAAAATGTATCAATTAAAATGGATTACCAAATGGATATAGGAATGTGAACAGATGGAAAAAAATGTGATTAAAGAGAGTATAGTAAAA